CTCTCTCTCTCTCATTCTTTCTTTATACCTTTCTCTCTCTCTCTCTCGTTCTTTTTTTATACCTTTCTCTCTCTCTCATTCTTTCTTTATACCTTTCTCTCTCTCTCTCTCGTTCTTTCTTTATACCTTTCTCTCTCTCTCTCTTCTCGTTCTTTCTTTATACCTTTCTCTCTCTCTCTCTCTCTTTCTTTTTTATACCTCTCTCTCTCTCTCTCATTCTTTCTTTTATACCTTCTCTCTCTCTCTCTCTCTTTCATTCTTTTTTATACCTTTCTCTCTCTCTCTCTCTCATTCTTTCTTTATACCTTTCTCTCTCTCTCATTCTTTTCTTTATACCTTTCTCTCTCTCTCTCGTTCTTTCTTTATACCTTTCTCTCTCTCTCTCTCTCATTCTTTCTTTATACCTTTCTCTCTCTCTCGTTCTTTCTTTTATTCTTTCTCTCTCTCTCTCGTTCTTTCTTTATACCTTTCTCTCCCTCTCTCTCGTTCTTTCTTTAGTTCTTTCTCTCTCTCTCTCGTTCTTTCTTTAGTTCTTTCTCTCACTCTCTTGTTCTTTCTTTACACCTTTCTCTCCCTCTCTCCCTCCCTCTCTTTCTCTCGTTCTTTCTTCATACCTTTCTCTCCTCGCTCTCTCTTGTTTTTCTCTTAATACTTTTCTCTCCACACTCTCTACCCCTCCTCCTCCTCCTCCTCCTCTGCCTCCCTCTTTCCGTCACCCCCTCCCTCCCTCCCTCCCTCTCTTTCTCTCACTTCTTCTGTGTTCCCTCTCTCGTTCTCGTCCTCTGTGGTTCTGTTCTCGCTCGTGTGTTTCTTTCACACTTTGTTGGTCTCTGGTCGCGTGTTCAGTTTGTCCCATTTCCCTCTCGACCCGATCACTGCGTCACAAACTATTAATACTTCTCCTGATACACACACCCCCACCATCACTACTACTACTACTACTACTACTACTACTACTACTACTACTACTACTACTACTAATACTACCACTACTACTACTACTACTAGTATAATGATGCCATAATCAAAAAAGAACAACAACTACTACTAAAAGCAATAACTACAACCCATATTACTGCTACTGCTACTTCAGGGATCACTACTAATACTACAACTACTTTTAGCACTTCATTTACAACTACTATGGTAACTACTACTACTATTAGTACTACTATGTTTGCATTTTCTTATATCACAAATTGGTATAACAACTTTTTAGCACAAAAAGTACAAGAAGAACAACAACTACTAGTCCCAGCAATAACTACAACCCATATTACTACAACAACTACTACTACTACTATAATGATGTCATAATCCAAGAAGAACAACTACCACTACCACTGCTACTACTAGTACTATACTACTACTACTACTACTACTACTACTACTACTATAATGATGCCATAATCCAAAAAGAACAACTACTACTACTACTCCCAGCAATAACTACAACCCGTATTACTGCTACTGCTACAACTACTACTACTTCATGGATCACTACTACTTTTAGCACTTCAATTACAACTACTACTACCTCTACCACTACTACTACTTACTACTACTACTACTACTAGTATAGTGATGCCATAATCCAAGAAGAACAACTACTACTACTCCCAGCAATAACTACAACCCAGTATTACTACAACTACTACTACTATTACTACTATTACTACTACTACTGCTACTACTATAATGATGTCATAATCCAAGAACAACTACCACTACCACTGCTACTACTACTACTACTACTACTACTACTACTATAATGATGCCATAATCCAAAAAGAACAACTACTACTACTACTCCCAGCAATAACTACAACCCGAATTACTGCTACTGCTACAACTACTACTACTTCATGGATCACTACTACTTTTAGCACTTCAATTACAACAACAACTACTACTACTTACTACTACTACTACTACTAACTACATGCCAATCCAAGAACAACTACTACTACTTCCAGCAATACTATACCCAAACTACAACTACTACTACTACTACTATAATACATAATACTACTAACTACTACTGTACTACTACTACTACTACTACACTACTACTACTAACTACTACTACTACTACTACTACTACTAGTATAGTGATGCCATAATCCAAGAAGAACAACTACTACTACTCCCAGCAATAACTACAACCCGTATTACTACAACTACTACTACTATTACTACTATTACTACTGCTACTGCTGCTACTACTATTACTACTACTACTGCTACTACTACAACTACTACTACTGCTACTACTACTATAATGATGCCATAATCCAAAAAAAACACAAATATTACTACTTCCAGCAATAACTATAACCCATATTACTACAACTACTGCCAATACTACCACTACTACTACTACTACTACTACTACTACTACTACTATTATTGCTACTACTACTAGTATTATAATGATGCCATAAGAAATGATGCCAAGAAGAAAAACTACTACTACTCCCAGCAATAAATACAACACACATTACCACCACCACCACTACTACTACTACTACTAATATTACTATTACTACTACTACGACTACTACTATAATGATGTAATCCACAAAAACAGTCACCACTATACTTGAATGACTTTTTTCTCCACTATTTGGCCTTTCATTTCTACTCTTTGGTAATCTTTTTGTATTTTACCTTCCCTCTCTACTTGGTTTATTGGACCAGCTACTACTACTACTACTACTTCTCCACTGTCACTACAACCATGACATCATGCAGTACTACTACTACTTCCTCTCTCCTCATTGTTGTGACTCATTCTCCGCGGGGCCGTAGTTTCACAAAGGTGTTTTCAGCGCGAGGCTACTGCTATCACAGTGAGAACAATTTAACTCCTAAAACCAACACAAACTCTTATATTATTGCTTTTAATTTTGTGTAAAAACCTCACACGGCAAGAAAGCGCCGACTTGATCCTCCGCCGCGTTTATTCCAGATGTTTTTCCCCATTAAGTGAATTCAAGGACCATTTGAAACCACTCAAGTTTATATACAGGTCTCTAATGCACTAATGATGAAAAGGGCAGGTAACAGGATTTAAATGTGATTGAAGCACGGAGATAAATACAGTTCAAAGGTCTTATATTAGACAAAATTGACTCTTTTGAGCTTTAAGTCATGTTATAAAGCTGTTACCTCATCAAAAACACACCTGGAGTCGTGTTTTGGTTCATTCATACATGTTTAAAACACAAATCCTGCATATTTAGACTGAGTTCTGGTAACAAAGGAAATGCTCCACTGTGTTTTTACACTTCATACCCCTTAACAAGAATCATTTTGATCATTTCAGACCTGGATTGGCCGATCTTTACTGAACAAAAGATTAGAGAAGACAGCTGTTACCTTGAAAACTTTGGGCATTTTGGGCTTTGGAGATATAGACAGACTAATAATAAAGAAATTACCGAAATGTCTGGACTATAAGGCACACTGAAAATCCTTTAATTTTCTCTAAAATTAAGGGTGCGCCTTATAATCTGGTGTGCCTTATGTATTAATTCTGGTGGTACTTACTGATCTCGAACCGATTTTATGTGGTACACGGTGCTCAAAAATCTGTCAAAATGTTTTAGAAACAACATTATAACAGATGAGAAAACAGCAAATTGGCTTGAAAATAAACTGTAGTAAGTAACATTTGCGCACTGATTAAAGGAATATTTCTATTAGCATAATGTTTTTTGAGCCCAACCTTTAATCTTCTAATGTTTTTTTCCGAGTTGCCAATTGTTCCCTTTGGACATTATTCCAAAGCAAACAAAAACATCTATTCAGTTCATATGAGCTCCAGACCACTCCCAAATGTGAACTGGAAATGTTTGCAACGTTAATTACTCATTGTCATCGTGGCACGACGAGTAGGTTGGCAGCTGAGGAAATATGATTTAAAATTCTATTCAATATCGCAAGAGAAATGGTAAACTACAAAGTCACACCGCTTGATGGATTGTCAGGAGCCCTATGGAGGAAAGCCCAATTTACGGTCCTTAGTCCGACAGAAGCTGAACCACATCAGCGCACGAGGAGCGAGTTGTTTATTCAGCGCTTATAGTTCATGCAAATTTCGTTTCTGTAAAACATAAACAAATGTGCGCAAAGCTGCATTAAACATATTATTACTCAATGTATATTTGAGTCGTCCTCGTAGGAAATAAAAAAACAAAAACAAACTTAAATTATCCACCCACATTCATAATACAGATTCACCACGACAGGGAGGCAATGTCGGGTGAATTACGCCACGATCTGCCAATGGATCGTGCATGTCTGGGCTAAGGGATCAGTTGTCCGTTTGTTTCGCTTAAGACCTATTCACACGGGATGAGTAGAACCTGGGGACGTCTGGTCATTTGCGAATTACTGCCCCACCTCTGTGTTACTTGTAGATCATTACACAGGATCAGCAAAGTCTGTAACTGACTCTGTTTTTGACATTGACACACAGATTGAAAGAGAAAAGAACGCGGAAAGAAAAGAAAGAGACAGAAAAGGCATAATTACAAACAAACAAACAACAAACACTGAGATGCAGATTCGCACAGACAAGTATTATCACCTGACGCCTGTGTTTGGTGAAATACAGTAGGTCATTTGCGGTGGAATTTTTACTTTACAAATGACAGACACGGCGCATTCGGACGGGATTAAGATCTCGGGCATTCTCTGAAATTATTACAAATCACCAAAGGTCCACAGGTAAAACTAATCCCGTGTGAATAGCGCCTTATAGTCCAAAAAATACGGTACTCAAACGTGAATGAAACTAAACTCAACTCCAGGTATGTTTATGATGAGGTAAGAACATTATAACATGACTAAAAGCTCCCAAGAGTCGATTCTGCATAATATAGGACCTTTAACGTCTTCTCCGTCAGCATAAACAAATAAAACTGACATTATATTCCCTCAAGAGCCTCGCAGCTTTGACATTTCTAAACAAAACCGTGTAAAGTGGTCCTTACCTCTCTCACAGGAGCGTCCCAGGTAGCCGGTCCCCGAGCAGTCGCACACGTATCTGTTCCAGCCCTCTCTGCAGATGCCGTTGTGCTGGCAGGGGTTGCTCAGACACTGTTTCGGGGGCTCCCTGGAGCAGGACGGTTTGACCCCCACCGCCCTCTGAGCCTCTGCCAGTCTGCGGATATCTTTACTCTGCCCGTCCACAAACAGGTCCCGGATGCAGCCGACGTAGCCGTAGTTCAACAGAGCGGTCCACACCTGAGAGAAAAGAGACAGGGGAAGGTTAAAAAGTGCATTGTGTAGCTTTTCTAGTGAACGTGTTATTGCTTTGTCTGGAATAAAATGGTTAGAGTTAAGTTTAGACGTGGTTAAGTCCTAGTTTAGACCTGTAGTCCCCAGATAGTCCTAGTCTAGACCTGGTTTAGTACTCGAATCCAGTCACAAACCTTCGCGACCCAAGTCAATAGACATTATTCGTAAATCACAAAATAAAGGACAACGTTAATGAGGATCTTTTATTGTTGACTGAGTGATCGTGTCTCTCTGAACAATTATCATTACTCAAGTTTTAAACAATGAAAAACAGTCAATGAAGCAGCAATAAAAGGATCCATAAGTCGCCTATTTGAGCATTAAATGTAGCCCATTTCTTTTTCTTTTCAACATTCAATTGAACCAGTAAAATTGGAACAAAATAGTCAATAAAATAATTACAAAAAGATTTGAAATTATACAAAACGCGTGTTACGAGATCAGGCGCAGTATTCAGTCTGTTTCTGTGCTTTGTTTTCATTTTTGTGAACACAGAAAATCCCAATTCACACATATATGTAGTAGTGAAAGGAATAAGCATAGAAATATTGGCTCAAATGCCAAATGATTATCCAGAATGAGGATAAAGTCACAGTTGTTTTAGTCCTGGTTCAGTCCTGGTTTAGACCTGGTTTAGACTTGGTTCAGTCCTGGTTTAGTCCTGTTTTAGTCCTGGTTCTGTCCTGTTTGTCCTGGTTCAGTCCTGGTTTAGACCTGGTTTAGACTTGGTTCAGTCCTGGTTTAGTCCTGTTTTAGTCCTGGTTCAGTCCTGTTTTAGTCCTGGTTCAGTCCTGTTCAGTCCTAGTCCTGTTTTGTCCTGGTTCAGTCCTGGTTTAGTCCTGTTTTAGTCCTGGTTCAGTCCTGTTTTAGTCCTGGTTCAGTCCTGATTCAGTCCTGTTTCAGTCCTGTTTTAGTCCTGTTTCAGTCCTGTTTTAGTCCTGGTTCAGTCCTGGTTTAGACCTGGTTTAGACTTGGTTCAGTCCTGGTTTCAGTCCTGTTTTAGTCCTGGTTCAGTCCTGGTTTAGACCTGGTTTAGACTTGGTTCAGTCCTGGTTTAGTCCTGTTTTAGTCCTGGTTCAGTCCTGATTCAGTCCTGTTTCAGTCCTGTTTTAGTCCTGGTTCAGTCCTGGTTTAGTCCTGGTTTAGACTTGGTTCAGTCCTGGTTTAGTCCTGTTTTAGTCCTGGTTCAGTCCTGATTCAGTCCTGTTTCAGTCCTGATTCAGTCCTGTTCAGTCCTGTTTTATTCCTGTTTTAGTCCTAGGATCAGTTCTGTTTTAGTCCTGGTTCAGTCCTAGTTAAGTTCTGGTTCAGTTCAGGTTCAGTCCTGTTTCAGTCCTGAGATCAATTCTGGTTCAGTTTTAGTTTAGTCCTGATTATCCAGAATGAGGATAAAGTCACAGATCCATGTATACACCTGTATATTGTAGACCAGGGGGCCACCAGCAGCTCTCCACCCCATTCCATGTGGCTTGCCAAGGGATTTCTGAATTATACATATGGTGCTGAATAAGTAAAATTTGATTAATTACCATTTTAAATCTATGTAAATCTATCATTTTAATACCCGGTTTTCTGCACTAATAAATGAATAATTGTTTATATTTTCTAGGCATCTAACTGTCCCAGATATAGAGCTCTGACTTCTGGCAACTGTTAAAATAAGTAACTTGGCATTTTTGTTTTATAAAAGTAGCTCACCAGAGGAAAAGGGCTGGAGAACTCTGTTGTAGAGCAACATACAGATTGTGACAAGTTGATCCAAAAAAAAAATCTCTTGCGACCCACCTGAGGGCTGTGACCCAGTCTTTGGGAAACAATGCTCTAATCAGATCAGGTTTTTTTTTTTTGTTTTTTTTTTTTAACTTTATTTTTGTGTGTGTTTGAAAATGTTGTACGTTTTCGTAAAATAAAATAAAATAAAATTCAGAGCATCTAGAGTAACCAATAGTTATCTTCTGACAGTATTAACATATCGAATTCTCGGTCCATTTCTCCAATACCTATTAATTAGCAGTAGAAAGTCTCAATGAAAATGTCAATCTTTCATGTCATATATCTCGTTGACTACTTTGATCAGTCAGTGAGTCCAGGTGCATCTTACACAACCATTTCCTGGTAATGGCTTTCTTTGCTCAGCCAGCAGTATTGACAAAAGATATTTGTCTGATTCTGTAATCCACATATAATTTACAAAAAAGACTTCAGTAAATCCCAATAATGTTGGCAGGTGTAATCTGAATAACTTTGAATAGCTTTTATCACCATTGTCCAGTAGGATGTGATCTTTAACACAATCCCAAAATATGTGAAAAATGCTGATCTGACATTCACACAGTCTCTCCAACACCGAGCCTCTGGGTCATTACTCCGCTTACTCTAATATAGGGTGTAACAAAAAAACGTACAGTAGTTTTCCATGTGAATTCTCTCCAAAGACCAAGCTGGAGGTGGTCATTGCAGTTCTGCAGATATTGTACCAGTCTTCCTCAGATATTGTAATATTAGAATCTTTTCCCACGCCTCTTTTGTATATACTAGAAATGTTCTTTGATGCTTGTAGACATTTGTAAACAATGGTTATTTGTTCTAGGAGGCGTTACCTTTGCATGCTTCTGATTAATTACCAGATTCTCCCTCTTCTCAGGAATTTTATTTTTCTATTGAAATGTCTCAGCTGAAAGTATCTGAAAAGATCATGTTTTTTCCAAATTGTACTTGTCTGAGAGTTCCAAATAGCTTTCCAGCAGCCTTTCAGTGATATTGACCAATAACCAGTAATACCATTTCGAGACCATTGTTGAAATCTGTTATCTGTTTTTGCTGGTAGAAATTCTGAGTCAAATGCTGCCAACCATTATTTTGGCCCTTTGTTCAGTATTCTTGTTTTTAAGTATTTACTCAGATATTAATTGGTGTGTTTTATCCAGGTGGCAATAGTTGTGAATCAAATGTATTTTTTGTCACCAAGTATAGATTGTATTGGGAGCAAAAGTATGACTGTAATCTCTTTTCCATTTAACATCACAACTGGGTCACACCAATTTATCATATTCGAACTGGGCTGCTTTTATAGTAACTCTTCTAGACAAGGTATAGCTAATCCACCTTCCTCCTTCCGTAATTGTAGAGTTTTGAAATCGTATTCTTGGTTTTGTATTTCCCCAATAAAATTGAATCATTCTATTCCATTCGTTGAATTGTTTGGTGTATTTCAACTGACACCTGAAATAGGTAAAGAACCAGTAATAAATTCATTTTAACTATTTCCAATCTATATACATATTCATTGATAGTATCCCCCATCGCTGCAGGTCAGCCTTAATATTTGTAGTGAGTATCCATAATTTTCCTCATATATTAAAGATAAATCCTTTGATATTAGTATTCCTAAATATTTGATGCAATTGCTTTGCCAATTAAATTTGTCATTTTACATATCTCGGCGGATGGGTGATAGTTAAAAGGGATAATCTGAGTCTTTTGTAAATTTAGTTTATATCCAGAATATTGCCGAATTCACGGAGTAATATCAAAGGTTGGAGTAAAACTGACTGTTGGTTGGATAATGTCAAGAGGACGTCATCTGCATATAAACAGATTTTGTGTGTGGTTGTCTCTGTTATTGCAATGGCTGAAATACCTTTATGTTCTCTTATAGCTTGCGCCAGGTGGCTCAATAAAAAGAGAGCAAACAGGGTTGCGCTTAGAGGACAGCCCTGGCGGCAACCTCTCTCAAGATTTACAGTTTCTGAAAGGTCCCCGTTAAGCGAAAAAACGAAAAAATTATGCTACCGCTCGCTTCTTCGCCATCCCGGATCAGATCAGGTTTAGTTCTTAGTCTTTTTTCTTTTTTTTTTTGGATCTGTTTTTGTTCTTCTTAAAGGTGTTTTGTGTAACTTTTCTGGTTGAGGATGCATCAAACACTTTTCTGTTATTGCTTTGTCTGGAATCTTTCACAGTATGGTCTTTAACCTTTCTATCTTCATGGACACCAAACCTGAATTATATTGAATTATACCTCATTAACAACAGTATTCCTATTTACAGAGTTGTCAAAGCTTCACAAATTGAAACTGCAATTTGAATGGACGCAGTTTTTAAAGTACAGTTGTCCCTTACTATATCGCGGTTCACCTTTTGGCAGTCTCGCTGTTTTGCAGATTTCTTTGGGAGCAATTTTGCATGCTTTTTTTTTTTTTTTTACAGTGTATGAATGCGCATTCGTGTTCCTCCCCCTGCGTCCTGATTGGTTAAAGGACTATAAACCGTTCAATCGGTGTGAATGTGTTTAGCATGACAAATTGACATAAATGTTGGATCTCTAGCAGTGTGATTCTGAAGCGCTGTATGTTTGCGATTTTTCTCCCCGATAAAACCCACGATGTCGACGAAACGTTCTGCACCGACAAAGGCTCCTGCGGTCGCACCCAAAAGTCAGAGGAAGATACTAACCATGGCACAAAAAGTTGGACTTCTGGACACACTGAAGGAAGGTAGAAGTTACACGGCTGTAGGCTCCATTTCGGAATAAATTAATCTTCAGGAAGGAGGATAATAACAAAAGAACGACAGCAGTGATAAGGTTTAAGAAGGAAAGGAAAGAGCTGTAACCATTATGTCTGAGAAAAGTGTATAAAGTTTGTGCTGAGAGGTTTTACAGCCTTAAAACAGATATAATCATTGTAAAAAATAAAGCTCTGTTGCGGGTTATTTTTAGAACGTAACCCCCCCGCTGTAGTTTATCTGAAATTCACGCAATTCTCGTAGTTGTTTGTGCACATTTCATATTTTTTCTGCTCTTTCTGGATGTGTTTAAAATGTGAACTTTGAACCGAATCCTATCACTGAAGCATAAATCGTAAATATAATCGCGATCGAAAAACTTGTCAGGAAGCTGCAGCTAGAAAAAGTGAATGAACTTGTCTGGTTTGAACAGGAATTAAACCTCAGACTTTTCTTGTAGTTGGACGAGGAGTGGATATAATGAATATAATAGTGTGTAGCAAACAGATACTTTAAACTATTTCATTTGTCGCTTCATGTCAATGCACCTTTCATAGACGAGTATCCTTGTGTATCAGTGCAGACATCTTCTCTGTGCCACATTCAATAACTGCTCCTTTGTCGTGGTTAGCGTTGCCGTGGAAACTCCATGTTGTAAGTCTGTAAATCTATTCTTTCATCCCACTTCGTGTTTGCAAAGAAATTTATCAGAAGTTTCTCCACAGAGTTCGATTCACGTCTTAAACAGAAGTAAGAACTAAGAAAATACTGTATATATAAGTACCGTAGAGAAACTTTTTTCTGCCACCTCCTCGTCTCCATGGAGATGTTATTGCTTTTGACTGGAATGTTCCACAGTGCAGCATTTGTTCTACCGCAGGTGTTTTATTTACTCAAAAGTACCTTGAAAAACATTCTTACTGTGTGCAGGGTTGGTATGAGGGCTATTGTATCCACGCAGATATGTACAGTATGTTTGACGCAATATTGTGAAACATTCCTTGCGTCTCCATGGAAACAAGTAATTGACCAGAAGAGTTCAATTTTACGCAAAAAAAAAACAACAAAAAGATGACTTTACTAAGAGTGACAATACTCAATGATTCAGACAAAACAGATGTGAAACGGGAAATTATACTTTTTAGTATATACTTTTTATACTAGTATATACTTTTTACTTTTTTCTTATATTTATATGATGACGGTTTGACGGTTCAGTCCTGGTTTAGTCCTGGTTCAGACCTGGTTTAAACCTGGTTTAGTTCTGGTTCAGTCCTGGTTCAGTCCTGGTTTAGTCCTGTTTTAGTCCTGGTTCAGTCCTGTTTTAGTCCTGGTTCAGTCCTGGTTTAGACCTGGTTTAGACTTGGTTCAGTCCTGGTTTAGTCCTGTTTTAGTCCTGGTTCAGTCCTGTTTTAGTCCTGGTTCAGTCCTGATTCAGTCCTGTTTCAGTCCTGTTTTAGTCCTGGTTCAGTCCTGTTTTAGTCCTGGTTTCAGTCCTGATTCAGTCCTGTTTTAGTCCTGTTTCAGTCCTGTTTTAGTCCTGGTTCAGTCCTGTTTTAGTCCTGGTTCAGTCCTGGTTCAGTCCTGATTCAGTCCTGATTCAGTCCATTTTCAGTCCTGTTTTAGTCCTGGTTCAGTCCTGGTTTAGACCTGGTTTAGACTTGGTTCAGTCCTGGTTTAGTCCTGTTTTAGTCCTGGTTCAGTCCTGTTTTAGTCCTGGTTCAGTCCTGATTCAGTCCTGTTTTAGTCCTGGTTCAGTCCTGTTTTAGTCCTGTTCAGTCCTGTTTTAGTCCTGGTTCAGTCCTGTTTCAGTCCTGTTTCAGTCCTGTTTTAGTCCTGTTTCAGTCCTGTTTTAGTCCTGGTTCAGTCCTGTTTTAGTCCTGGTTCAGTCCTGATTCAGTCCTGATTCAGTCCATTTTCAGTCCTGTTTTAGTCCTGGTTCAGTCCTGTTTTTAGTCCTGGTTTGGTTTCAGTCCTGTTTAGTCCTGTTTTAGTCCTGGTTCAGTCCTGATTCAGTCCTGTTTCAGTCCTGTTGTTCAGTCCTTTTTAGTCCTTTTCAGTCCTGTTTAGTCCTGGTTCAGTCCTAGTCAGCTGTTTCAGTCCTGTTTTAGTCCTGGTTCAGTCTGTTTTAGTCTGGTTCAGTCCTGATTCAGTCCTGTTTCAGTCCTGTTTTGTCCTGTTTTAGTCCTGGTTCAGTCCTGATTCAGTCCTGTTTCAGTCCTGAGATCAGTCCTGGTTCAATTCTGGTGTAGTCCTGTTTTATTCCTGTTTTAGTCCTGGGATCAGTTCTGTTTTAGTCCTGGTTCAGTCCTGTTTCAGTCCTGAGATCAATTCTGGTTCAGTTTTAGTTTAGTCCTGTTTTATTCTCCCTGAAACTTGACTTGAAAAATATCCTGGATGAAGTCAAAAATCTCAATATCTGCCAGAAAAATCTGAATTCAATTTTCTCTTAAAATCGTTCAGCTTTACTAAACAAGACTAAAAAGACACGTAGTAAAGAATAAACAATATACACCATTAGCTCAGCTCCTTCCACAAAAGAAACCATAAAAATAATTGGAGCCAGTCACACAGAAATGCGTTTTTGAAAATGAAGCAATGTAAAATGGGCCATCACAATCAGGTCTATTATGGAGGGACATAAAGGACACACTTCAATACTGTATTAGTTGTATTGTCTTATTCACAATCTGAAGAATAGCTGGAAATGCAGTGTGCGTTTTGGTCTTTTGTTGAAAATAATGGGCATATGACCTCAGATGTTTTCGGTACGTGACATTTTCTGCTCCATTAAGGCAATTTCTCTACACAATTCTTCAGACGCACTGTTAGAAAGTCAATGTGGTGTGAACTAAATTTAGAAATCAAATGGAAAAAAAAACTGCGAGCTCTGTTACACAAACGAGTGAACGCGAGGGAAGTTTTTAAAGGTGTATTGTGTAACTTTTCTACATTACACAGATCGATCTTGTATCTATTTGATTACACACGTTTTAAAAGCTAAAACTTACAAGCATTATTACAATTTTTACTATAAACAGGCCTATTTCTCCACAGATCTGACCTGTAACTTGGCCTGGTAGCATCATGTCTACATAGTGTAACTTTTCTGGGTCCGCCACAAACTTGACTCCATGTAAGTGTTTTTTGTTTTGTTTTTTTTGTTTCCTGGAATTTTTTTCTACAGTATAATTTAACCTTCTCCATGGCGACAAGCTTGGCCACAAGTTACAGGTCATATCCAGTGTTGGGAAGGTGACTTTTAAAAATGTATTCCCCTACAAATTACAGATTACACACCCCAAAATGTAGTTTGTAACGTAATCCATTAATTACTTAAAGTGAGTAACGTAATCTGAATACTTTGGATTACTTGATATTGTCATGCTTTTTAAAACTACATGAATGTACCAACCACATCCTGAAAATTCTTGTTTGTTCTCTTCAAATTGGCTGAGCCCAAGTCTCCATGAACAGACATTTGTTTACTGTAGAGAAGAAAAGACTAGAATATCTTAACATAAGATGTTTTGTCTGTTAAAAGACAATAAAAAGTCCAGTCTTTCCTTAACCAAATTAAAAATATTACTGACAGAGAAATGATTTCTATATGAGATCACTGCAGCCTTCAATTATGTCCACCTACTGTTAGGTGCCATACTGTTTAGACCTGGTTTAGTCCTGGTTTAGACCTGGTTTAGTCCTGGTTTAGACCTGGTTTAAGTGTTAGTTTAGTCCTGGTTTAGTCCTGGTATTAGTCCCAGTGTTAGTCCCGGTTTTAGTCCTGGTTTTAGTCCTGGTTTTAGTCCTGGTTTAAGTGTTAGTTTAGTCCTGGTTTAGTCCTGGTATTAGTCCCAGTTTTAGTCCTGGTTTAGTCCTGGTTTTAGTCTTGGTTTAAGTGTTAGTTTAGTCCTGGTATTAGTCCCAGTGTTAGTCCCAGTTTTAGTCCTGGTTTTAGTCCTGGTTTAGTCCTGGTTTTAGTCCTGGTTTAAGTGTTAGTTTAGTCCTGGTATTAGTCCCAGTGTTAGTCTCAGTTTTAGTCCTGGTTTTAGTCCTGGTTTAGTCCTGGTTTTAGTCCTGGTTTAAGTGTTAGTTTAGTCCTGGTATTAGTCCCAGTGTTAGTCTCAGTTTTAGTCCTGGTTTTAGTCCTGGTTTAGTCCTGGTTTTAGTCCTGGTTTAAGTGTTAGTTTAGTCCTGGTATTAGTCCCAGTGTTAGTCTCAGTTTTAGTCCTGGTTTTAGTCCTGTTGTAGCCCAAAATGTGAAAACAGCAAAATACCGCCATGTAATCCATTTATTTCAACAAAGTAACTGTAATCCAATTACCACTCACTGAAACAGTAACTGTAACTGAATACAGTTACTCATAATTTGTACTCTGATTATGTAACTCCGGTACATGTAATCTGTTACTCCTCAACACTGGTCATATCTGTGGAGAAGTGGGCTCGCTCACGGTAATAATGCATGGTTTTGAGGCAGTTCTGATAAATAAAAATAAAGATATATTTGTTTAATGCCAAACTGTGGAACATCCCATAACCATGAGACAAGCAGATCTTCTATCAGAAAAGTTACACAGTGCACCTTTAATACCATATTGTGAAACATTTCTATTTCAGATGATTTTAAAAAAGTGTTTGCTCATGTGTGCATTGTGTAACCGCTGAACACTCCACCACAGAGATACATGTAGAACACCCCAGCATGATGTCAGTGCAAAGTATCAGCACCTCAGGCTTATTATTTATTATCGTATTTATGGTTTTCAACTTGAGGAGTTTTTCCCATTCAAAAGATACAATATATAGTTAAATTAAATTAAATTGTTAGTCACTATAGCAACAGTCCTAATTTTCATCATACAGAAACCCGTGGGTAGGCAGTAGGAGTGTGCAAAAATATTGAAATATTAATATATCGTATCGTTTAATGTACAGTATCGATATCGTGGGCTGCTGTATCAATGTATCGCCAAGAGTATTTTTTGTTATATTTTACTAAATTATTTTGTTACAGCTACAGTTTTGTTGTTTGTTTAGTGGAAGGAAACTCGTTTAAGTGACACATTTGACATTTTCACAGTTTTGATGATTAAAATGTTTGTGTTTCATATGAACTTTGCACAAGAAGTGGTTTAACAAAGACTTGTTGATGATATTTTCTATTGAACCGTATGGAATTGATTTTAAATATATCATATCAAATCGTATCGTATCGCGGCCTGTGTATCGAGGTATGTGTTGTATCGGCAACTCGTTAATAATACCCAGTCCTAGTAGGGAGTAGTGTTTACCTCGGTGGGGAAGATGAGCCCGGCGCGGTCTTCAGGAAGTCCCCCGAGATAAAGGGTGTCATCCAAATCCAAGATCTCACTGTCTCCTGGAGCTGTGTAGGCTGTTCGCACACTGTTCACCGAGATCGTACCTACAACCACAAACACACATTTATTTAACTTTTATTATTTATTTATTATGTTTAAGCTTTGAGTGCCTAAAAAAACACTATTCAGGGGTGTCAAACTCAAATTCACAGAGGCCAAAATTAAAAACTGGGACTAACTAACGTACTTATGAATCAATTGTAATCTATTTATCTAAGATTGTGTGTTTTTAACATATTTAATATTTATTGTGATTTTAGCCAAGCGTGATGGATAAATTTAACTAATTGTTTATGGAACAAACATTCTGCCCTGGAGCACTGTAACACTTTATTTTGTAATTGTGTTTTTATACAAGTTTGTGGATGAATGAAATGTGAAATGTGGGGCCTGCCTCTCAAATCTGCAAAGCAAATTTACCTACGGGTACGAATAAAGCGACCGAACCGAACCTAACCTAAGTCGTGGGCCAAACTAAATATTTATTGAAAAATTTCAACAGCATCTGCATGTTTTCTCTTCTTTTAGGTTTAACATGTACTGTTAAACCTTTTTTTTTTTTTTATTAAAATCAATGTTTAATAAGAGTTTTTGCTTAAACATTGAATCCAGAACAAGCATAATATAAAATAATAACAACATTTTTAATAAATAAAGTCTCTGTAGTCTATCTGTAGCCCACGGGCAGCTCTAATACATATTTGATATGATCTCGTGGGTCAAATATAACCCCCGGCCTGAGTCTGACATGTCTGCACTATATAAATAAAACCATTTACCATTAACCAGTCCTTAGTAAAAGTAAGTATTTTGGAGCAGAATTCAGGTTTTTGTTAAACAGCAATTATTAAAGGGCCAATATTACACTATTTTCTGATCTATGTTATAATGTTTTTTCCACATCACAAACAAACTGTACCTGGAGTTGTGTTTTGTTTCACTCACACATGTTTAACTTCTCTCAGACAGAAAACACTCTGTTCCGCAATGTGATGTCACGTGGCAATATAGGAAGCGCTCCACTGTGTTTTTAAACTATAAACTATAATTTCAGACCTGGAATTGTCAATCTCTACTGAACTAAAGGTAAAACTTTGCTGTTAACTTGAAGATTACCGCTTCGTGACATCACAAGGTGGAACAGAGCATTCTGATCTTTGGAGATGTGCACAAAATAATAATAAAGGATTGCGCAAACGTGTGTGAATGAAACAAAACACAACTCCAAGTATGTTTTTGTGGATGTAACATGGCTAAAAACGTCAATTTTGCGTAATATATGACCTTTAAATGACTGTATTTTTTATGTACAGGAAACACAAACCGAAGCCAAATGATCGCTTTTGAATAAGACGCATTGTCAATATGAGGATAATACTTTTGTTCATTCTTTGTTATATCACCGAGCCGTAACAATATCATCATATAAGCCCATTTCATCAATTTCCCCTTTTATTCGTCTCCAGCTTTTTCCCGCTCCAATTCTCTGGCTCTAGTCCCTGTAGCTCCACAGCTGTAGTCCTGAGTCATGCCTTACTCATCACTTTGCGCTAATTCAAATTCAGATAATTTTTCCACTGGCTCAAGGTAAAATGTTTTGTCAAGTACAGACCTCGTTTACAATAACAAGACAATAGGCCGAGCGCACAATAGCCCCGTGTATCATGTATGAATCATCTCATTTAGACTGTGAATGAGAAACAGCCATTCCAGTCATTAGAATCAGGTGAAGGACTTGGAAAACATGTTTCTATTCAACTGGTATTTAGTTAGATAATATACATTGTCTGGTGTTAATGTACCTTGATAAATTGCAAGACATTTTCAGTTTTTTTTTAATTCAAGGTTTTGTCAAAGTCTCTAGGCAACGCAAAATAAATTGGCTTGGTACAGCACTTTTCTCAATGTATTTGTACAATAACTCAGGTACAGATTTGTTTATTCCATTTCATATCTTCCACTTATTTCTCTATTACCGTGCTGTGAGGCTATATGGAAAATTAACCAAAAAACTGTGGTCTTAAATTGCCCATATTACACTATGTTCCGATCTATGTTGATGTAACAATAACCAAAATATCAAAAGTCTCACAATAATACCGTGGGCCATCACAATATATCAAATTATAAGTCTCTTTGCTTAAATTCACTGTTTTGGTGCAGCAATAGCTTAAAAAAAATGAGCGAACTACATATCCCATGATCCTTTGCTCCATTACAGTGCAGACTACATGAAAAGTAATACAAATAATAATCAGAATCATAATTTTCAAGCACTTTTAAATCTTAATTATTTGGTTTATGACAGAATAAAAGTCTTGTCAAGGTATTTTAATAAGAAAATTTTGTTAGCGCCTACAAAATATCGCGATAAATATCGTACCGTGGGATGTATATCGTGAAAATATCGTATCGAGAGATTTGATTATCGTTACAATCCTAATGTTACAATGTTGTTTCCTCATCACAAACAGACGTGGAGTTGTGTTTTGTTTCGTTCACACATGTTTAACACACACACCTGCATATTTAGGCTCTTCTCTCAAACTGAAAACACTCTGTTCCACCTTGTGATGTCATGTGGTAATACAGGAAGTGTTTTTAAACTCCATAAACCTTCACTAGAATCATTTGGATGATTTCAGGCCTGGAATTGCCAATCTCAATCCAATCCACTTTATTTATAGTTTCCAAAGTGCTGCACAGACAAATTAATACAATAAAACACAGTAAATCATATTTAAAAACAATAAATAAAAATGTTAAAATGCATAAAGCTAAAAATGATAAAACAATGAATAAAAAAAATTAAATAAATAAATAAAGACACAGAGCAGAGGGCCACAAAACTCACGCGGTGTTAAAAACCAGAGAGTAAAACTGGGTCTTAAAATGAGATTTAAAACTCTTCGCGGTGGGGGAGTGTTTGTGTGTTCGTCCTCTACTGAACTAAACTGCAAAAACTACCACTTCATGACATCACAAGGTGGATGAGAGTATTTTGAGCTTTGGAGATGTAGACAGACTAAAAATAAAGGATTACTCAAACTTGTGTGAATGAAACAAACACAACTGCAGGTAAAAACATTCTAACACGGCTTAAAGTTCACAAGAGTGAGTATTGTGCAATATAAGACCTTTTAATAATAAATGATCTTTTTTTCAATTTGCAAAGTATAATGTAAGGTAAGATAATGGACTAAGATCTTATTGATTGAGTTCAGTGTTTCTCAAGCTGTGATGGAGTTATCACTAACTGCACGGGCTTGTTCTCATGGCATAAGTGTAGACCTGGTTAAGTTCTTGAATAGTCCAAGTTTAGTTTGCAATTAGTCACAGTTAAGACCTGGTTTAGACCTCAAATATTAATTATTATTATTATTATTATTAATCATTGCATTTATATAGTGCCTTTCAAGATACCTAAAGTGCTTTACACTCAGTGGTGGTAAGTTACTACTGTAGCCACAGCTGCCCTGGGGCAGACGGATGGAAGCGAGGCTGCCAATCTGCATCATTGGCCCCTCCAACCACCATCACTTTCATACTAGGCAATGTGGGTGACGTGTCTTGCCTAAGGACACAACAACAGTTTTTTGTCAGTGGCACTGCACTGTGGCAGTCTCCCATCCAAGTACTACCCAGGCCTGGTCTTGCTTAGCTTCTGAGATCTGACAAGATCAGGCTTTAACAAGCCAGAATGGATTGTCAGATAGTCCCAATTTAGATTTGGTTTAGTCCTTGAAAAGCCCTGCAGTGCACCCAGTTTACTCTTGCTTTGGTCCTTGGTCTAGTTCTGTTTTAGTCCAGTTTTAATTCTGGGTTTAGTGCCAGATTCGCAACATGATGATGAGGTGTGTTTGGCTGTGTGAATGTAGTCCTAGTTTAGACCTGGTTTTGACCTTGAAATGTCCTAGTTTAGACCTGGTTTAGTCCTGGAATCCTAGTTTTGACCAGGACTAGTTCTTATTTTTTTTATTTTGGATCTGGTTTATCCTTTTTAAGTAAGAGTTTAGATCCAGCTGAACTATCTCCTATTGAGTTTTGCCAAATAAAACCTTTTTTTCTTTAATTTCTTACCTGATCGTCCGTCTCTCTGGAAGTCCACGTGGTACCACTCTCCATCATTCACTTTTCGATCTATGGCTTTAGTCTTGGTGGTCCCTGAGCCCATGTCCAGTAACAGATACAGATGCCCGTCCAACATCTCAATGGCAAAGAAGTCCACCTGTCAATCAAAGCATGAACATCATCCATCTTTAACATAACAACAAATAAACCACCAAAAGCTCCCATATTATGCTATAGTAACATTTTTGAGATTTTAACCATGTTCCTTTTTTTTCCTTGTTATCCGATTTACAACAAAACGAAATGAGGTAGTGTACATACGTTTATTTATCGCTTAATTAAACTGGTTGTATTATTAAATAGTACATTATTACAGGGAAAATCCAAGTCAAAGTTGGCAAATTTTGACTATTTTCCATTGAATTTTTACATTTAGTTTTTAGTTTATTTTAGTTTTAATTCAATCTGTTAGCAGAGGTGGACAGGAACAAAGTCCAAGACAATATCAAGATATGTAAGTGTATCATGAGTTCATTTTCACTTTCACATTCACTTTTTTTTTGGTATTTCCTATAAAAAATAACTTAAAATATAGTGTGCCAATGAAATACCTTATATCCGTAGTTGGTATAAAATCTGTCTACATAATACAGCAGCAGAAGACGCTGAAGTTTTAGTGAAAATGTTTGTATTTCATATCAAAAAATGCAGGCAATATGAGCTCTGAAATAGTTTATGAAATTTAAAAACACAAAGGAAGAGAATACAACGCAAATGTTGGAAAGTGAAAGCATTTTTGCCTCACATTGCTGAAAAGATACCGTATTTTTCGGACTATAAGGCGCACTTAAAATCCTTTAATTTTCTCAAAAATTGACAGTGCACTTTACAATCCGGTGTGCGTTATGTATTAATTCTGGTTGTTTTATTTTATGTGGTACACAGGGCTAAAAAAATCTGTCAAAATTTTTCAGCGCTTATAGTTTATGCAAATGAGCCATGTGGTTTTAAGTTTCGCTTCTGTAAAACGTAAACAAATGTGTGCAAAGCTGAATTAAACACATTATTACTTTATGTATATTTGAGTCGTCCTTGTAGAAAATAAAAATCCTTAAATTATCCACCCACATTCACATTCATAAAACACATTCATCAAGACAGAGAGGCAACGCCGGGCGAATTACACCACGATCTGCCAATGGATCGTGGACACCTGGGCTAAGGATCAGTCTCAAGTGTCGTCTGTTTGTTTTGCTTAATGCACCTTATAATTCAGTGCACCTTATGTATGAAAATAGACAAGAGAATTAAACATTATTGATATTGCGCCTTATAATCCGGTGCGACTTATAGTCCAAAAAATACGGTACTTGTAAATTAGCTTTGTAGCAACAATACAACCTATTGACGTATATTTGTTCAAGACAGCATTGACTTTAAAAAATGTCTTTGGAGATGAAGACTGACTGAAAAACGCACGACAAAAACATGGTAGGAAGCTCAAAAAGGCCGTTGAAATACCCTTAAACTCACTGATAGCTCTACCTTGACGGTGGGCGGGGTACGGGGGTCCTTGCGTGCCTGGGTTTTGGGTTTTCCGTGACTGAAAAGCATCAGTCCGTTTGGCTCGGTGGTTCTGAAGTCGAAGGAGATGGACCCGGCCTTCTTCGCCGTCCATTTGCTCAAAGACACAAAAGACTCGGGCGTGTCGAAAGTGACGGGGTCCAGAGTGGCCACGCTTTCACACTTAAACGATACCACTCCGCTGACCTACGGAGGGAGGAGAGGGACAAAATTAGAGCGTTAAACAATTGAGATTTACCACATGGATGTCAAGTTAATTTAATCGTAGAGTAGTCATAATGATCCCAAATTATACACTGCCACACTTGTAACTATTAACTTCTAAGTATTGTAATTTTGGCCAATGGCAGCTCAGATTCCTAGGAGCTTATAAACATTTGAAAAAGGACAGAATCCTTAATATACCAACACTTTACAATTCATGTTTTAGAAAGACCAGCAATTAATTTCAACACGTTTTAACATTTGAAAAGAGGTAATTTAAATATAACATAAGACCAAATATGAGTAGTGGTTTCCATGCATTTCAAGTCATGAGAATTTGTATCATTGCCATGGTATTTGTTAATTTTAAAATATTGCTAAATCCGTAGAGTGATCATCAACTAACCCCAAAGTTGGTAGTGCAATCCTAGACTTAGTTTAAACACGGTTTAGTCCTTCAATAGTCCTGGTTTAGTCCTTGAATAGTCCCGGTTAAGAGTTGGTTTAGTCCTTGAATAGTCTTAGTCCTTGATTATTCCTACTTTAAACCTGGTTTAGATCTGGTTTAAACTGGGACTATTCAAGGACTAAACCAGTTCTATTCAAGGACTAAACCAGGTCTGTTCAAGGACTAACACTATTCAAGAACTAAAACAGGTCTAAACTGGGACTATTCAAGGACTGAACCAGGTCTAAACTGGGACTATTCAAGGACTAAACCAGGTCTAAATTAGGATTATTTAAGGACTAAACCAGGACTATTCAAAGACTAAACCAGGTCTAAACTAGGACTACTCAAGGACTAAACCAGGACTACTCAAGGACTAAACCAGGTCTAAACTAGGACTATTCAAAGACTAAAACCAGGACTACTCAAGGACTAAACCAGGTCTCAACTAGGATTATTTAAGGACTAAACCAGGTCTAAACTAGGACTATTCAGGGACTAAACCAGGACTATTCAGGGACTAAACCAGGACTATTCAAGAACTAAACCAGGCCTAACTAGGACTATTCAAAGACTAAAACCAGGACTATTCAAGGACTAAACCAGGACTATTCAAGGACTAAACCAGGACTATTCAAGGACTAAACCAGGTCTAAACTGGTACTATTCAAGGATTAAACTAGGACTATTCAAGAACTAAAGCAGGTCTAAACCAGGTCTAAACCAGGACTTTTCTACTTAATACTAAATACTACTATAACAGGTAAAATTCTACTACTTTAATAAAAACTGTACAATACAAGCATATTACCAACATGAATTGACGAAAATTGTGAATAAAAAATACCTATTTACAAAACGTAATATATTTTTTTATTTACAAATATATCCATTAAAAATAACACAGATGACGAAACCTTTTGTCATTTTTTGTTTCGTACAGAGGCCTATGACTGGAAGAAGAAAGACGCAGCTGCATTGTCTCAAGAAATATAATCCAATTTCACTGCGAGTCAATTGTTTTAAAATAATCCCACGGGGCCCATCTATGTACACGGTGTATCCAGATGGAGGACGCATTAATGTGTCAGTAAACGTACGATTATGGAATGTTTGAATTAAGTTATCCATTATATGCAGATTAAAGCAAAATTGACTCTTGTGAGGTTTAATTATGTTATAATATTGTTACCTCATTAAAAACACACCTGGAGTTGTGTTTTGCTTCACTCACACAAGTTTAATGTTACGTTTTTCTACATCTCCAAAGCTCAAAATGCTCTGTCGCACCTTGTGATGTCATCAAGTGTTAGTTTTCAACAGCTACATTTTACTTTTAGTTCAGCAGAGATTGGCCACAGACTTTTTTCACAAGTGCAGAAGGGTAAACGTTACTCCCAGTTAATGCTTTTCTAGGGCAAAATATCTGTGGAAATGTCTCGCGTATTTTCCACCAGTTTCATAAATCTGACAAATTAGTTTAATTTCGCATTTTGTCAATCTCGATACCGAATACAGTTACAATAATTCTTGGTTCTTTTTGACAGTTATCACAGACTAGACATTGTTCATTTAAATATACTTTATTTGTTAATTAATTTCAGTTTCCATTCCTCATATTTACCTGCAGCTCCACATGGTCCAGACAAAAGAAGGGGTGTGCCTCATGTCGGACAATATGGCTACGTTCAGACTGCAGGGCTTAACGCTCAATTCAGATTTTTTTGTGAAATCCGATGTTTTTGCGAGGTCGTTCACATTTCAAATTAAATGCGACTTGTATGAGAACTCCAGTGTGAACGGTCCAAAAGTGTCCCGCATGTGCACTGGAGACACGATGACGTCAACCGCAGCGAGCGTCTCTGTGTTTACGGAAGTTGTCCAAACATGGACGCGAGCATTGAGCACCTGGAGATTTTAAAGTTTCTCTCGTACCGGAGCCAGAACATGAACAACTTACTTGTTTTAAGGAGGAGATTGAGAAGGACAAGGTTTTTGGCCGTGGTGTTTTGTGGGGCAGCGGCAGCGACGTCCGTTGAAAGGAACGTGTGGATGTGGAGACGGAGCCAAGAGTGGTGAGTGGTGATGTGCTTCACTTCAGTGACATGGAGTTTATTAACAATTTTCACCTACTTCAGCACAGAATAGTGACGTTTGTGGCGTAGGTCGGATGAATGCGCTTTGGCCGTTCAGACTGAAGTCACATGTCAAAAGATCAGATATGTATCGGTTTCAGGAGCACATATCCAAGTGTCCTGGGTCACATTTGAAAAAATTCTGATCTGTGTCGTTGAGTCATTAAAAGATCAGATACAGGTCACATAGGGGCCAAAAAATCAGATTTGGGTCACTTCAGGCTGCAGTTTGAACACAGCCTTTTACAACCTTGGAGGAGGTCGAGGGCTGGACCATTATTTTTAGTGTATTTTGTTTTATAGTTATTTTCAGCACAGTTTAGTTTATGTTTAACATTTAGATTTTCAAACAGGACTTGGGCCCAGGGAAAATCCTCGCTTTGCTTTGCAGTTACCTGGAACTGACCTGGGGGGAGGCACTTCCTGCTGGGCGGAGTCTAAAAGCAAGGAGGAGTCATCAATTAGGGGAGAGACTTCTGTGCAAGTTGTTTTGTGGGTTTTTTGAGTGGAGTTACTTATTTTCTGTTTATTTGTACTTTCATTGGTGTTAACTCCAGAAGTCTGTTTTGAAATAAATTTTGTCTGGTTAAAGCAGGCATGTCCAAACTATGGCCCGGGGGCCAAATGCGGCCCTCAGACTAATTTTTCTTGGCCCTCAGACTTCCAGGTGAATTGGCCCAAATTACCTTGCATCAATGAAAAATAAACTTTTTATTGCAAGTTTTTTGAAAATCTACCTTGATAAAGCTAATAGTTAATATTTACTGTGTGGTTTTAAGGATCTTAGCATGAATAAAGACTGATGGTTCATTCTAACATGTTAAACATGCACAAATTTCAATTATTCCCTGTACTGAGCGTCAGTCTTCGGTCAGTCGACCCTCTGCTTCGTCTGTGTTTAGATATGTGGCCCTTGATGAAAAAAGTTTGGACACCCCTGGGTTAAAGTCATTTTGTTGTTGTTGCGTCTGCCTCCTACTTTGACCACGTCCGTACACTGCCCCATCACCAAATCTTCATCCAACAAGGTCGACAAAGGAAAATAAACATTCATCCATGAAGAATTTATCCACAGCTAAAAACATAAAGGCGAACAACGACGACGCATTAAACTACTTCTGAGCAAAACTAACATTATAGTAATTATTAAAACATACGTAACTTGTGAACTCCGACTGATTCTACAATAAAAATCAATTTCATGATGTAGATATTGGCATAGACAGAGAGATTTGTGCCATGACATCTGTGAACATCTGTAGCACCTGAACTGCACAAATCTCTCTGTCTATGCCAATATCTACATCATGAAATCGATTTTAAAGAGTTCACTAATGACTTATTAATGAATTACTTATTACTTCTGTTTTATTCATGACCATAATGTTAGTTTTGTTCAGGAGTAGTTCACTAATGCGTCATTGTTGTTCGCCTTTACGTTTTTGTCTTTCTTTCCTTGATAATTGGAGATAAATTCTTCATGGACAGAATTATTTAACCTTTGTCAATCTTGTTGGATGAAGATTTGGTGATGGGGATTTGGTGATTTATGAAGCTGGTGGAAAATACGTGAGCCATTTCCACAGATATTTTGCCATAGAAAAGCTTTAACCGTTGTGAAAAAGGTCTATTCCAGGGCTGAAGTCATTCTAATTCTCTTGTGTTTTGAGTTTAAAAACACAATAGAGCACTCCCTGTATCACCACGTGACATCACAAGGTGGAACAGTGTTTTCAGTTTGAGATTAAACTCAGAATGAAGTTAAATATGTAAAATTTGTGTGTTAAACAATTGTGAATGAAACAAAACACAACTCCAGGTCTGTTTGTGATGAAAAAACATTATAACAGATGAGAAAAAAAAGCATAAAACGAGTCCTTTAATAGTAATAAAGTTATTTTGTGTATTTAGATTTAAGTTGTTTAATACCAGTGTTGGGAAGGTGACTTTTAAAATGTATTCCCCTACAGATTACAGATTACATACCCCAAAATGTAGTTTGTAACATAATCCATTAAATTACTTAAGGCGAGTAACGTAATCTGAATACTTTGGATTACTTGATTTACTGTAGAGAAGCAAAGACGAGGATATCGTCACATAAGATGTTTTGTCTGATAAAAGAAAATGAAAAGCCAAGATTTTACTGACCGTATTAAAAATATTATTGATAGAAGACGAGGAGACAGTCCTGGTTTAGCCTGTTAAATCCTGTTAAATCCTCTTTTAGTCCTGTTTTCGACCTGGTTTAGATCTACTTTAGACCTGGTTTTAGACCTGGTTTAGATTTAGTTTAGATCTAGTTCAGACCTGGTTTTAGTCCTGGTTAGATCTAGTTTAGACCTGGTTTTAGTCCTGGTTTAGACCTGGTTTAGATCTAGTTTAGACCTGGTTTTAGTCCTGGTTTAGACCTGGTTTAGATTTAGTTTAGACCTGGTTTTAGTCCTGGTTTAGATCTAGTTTAGACCTGGTTTGGATCTAGTTTAGACCTGGTTTTAGTCCTGGTTTAGATCTAGTTTGGATCTAGTTCAGACCTGGTTTTAGTCCTGGTTTAGATCTAGTTTAGACCTGGTTTTAGTCCTGGTTTAGAACTGGTTTAGATCTAGTTTAGACCTGGTTTTAGTCCTGGTTTAGATCTAGTTTAGACCTGGTTTTAGTCCTGGTTTTAGTCCTGGTTTAGAACTAGTTTGGATCTAGTTCAGACCTGGTTTTAGACCTGGTTTAGATCTTGTTTAGACCTGGTTTTAGTCCTGGTTTAGACCTGGTTTAGATCTAGTTTAGACCTGGTTTTAGTCCTGGTTTAGATCTAGTTTAGACCTGGTTTGGATCTAGTTTAGATCTGGTTTTAGTCCTGGTTTAGACCTGGTTTAGATTTAGTTTAGACCTGGTTTTAGTCCTGGTTTAGATCTAGTTTAGACCTGGTTTGGATCTAGTTTAGATCTGGTTTTAGTCCTGGTTTAGATCTAGTTTGGATCTAGTTCAGACCTGGTTTTAGTCCTGGTTTAGATCTAGTTTAGACCTGGTTTTAGTCATGGTTTAGAACTGGTTTAGATCTAGTTTAGACCTGGTTTTAGTCCTGGTTTAGATCTAGTTTAGACCTGGTTTTAGTCCTGGTTTTAGTCCTGGTTTAGATCTAGTTTGGATCTAGTTCAGACCTGGTTTTAGACCTGGTTTAGATCTTGTTTAGACCTGGTTTTAGTCCTGGTTTAGACCTGGTTTAGATCTAGTTTAGACCTGGTTTTATTCCTGGTTTAGACCTAGTTTAGACCTGGTTTTAGTCCTGGTTTAGACCTGGTTTAGATCTAGTTTAGACCTGGTTTTAGTCCTGGTTTAGATCTAGTTTAAACCTGGTTTAGTTTCCGTCAATGAGTGGAATTACAGAAAAAAAAAAAAAAAAGGGGGGGATTTAGCCCAAAATGTGAAAACAGGAAAATCCCGCCGTGTAATCCATTTATTTCAACCAAGTAACTGTAATCCAATTACCACTCATTAAAACAGCAACTGTAACCGAATTCAGTTACTCATCATTTGTACTCTGATTACTTAACTCCAGTACATGTAATCTGTTACTCCCCAACACTGTTTACAGTAGAATAAACCAAAACATACCTTCATCTTTGGGTCTCCTTGCTTGGCCAGCCTGGACAGCTCTAACCGCACGTCATTGTTCTTGTACACAACCTAATTAAAGACAAAAGATGAAAAACAATGTTAACTTCAAACTCAAAAAACACTACTTTCTTTGCCGGTGTTTAATAATGTAAAAGTTGCATTTGGTGTAAAGATGCGTGGTACAGAAAAGAACAATATAGCAAATCCCCTGCAGGAAAGGACCCAATTATGTTTAGTTTTTAACATTTATTGTCTGTATGAAAAATAACCAGAGGAGCAGAATATGTTTGCAGGACTCTCATGTTTTCTCTACTTTCTTTCTTAGTTTCTTTGCCACATTGACTTAATAATAAAGAATTATGTGAACTGCTGAACTAATGCAAGAATCACATGTAACCCGTGCATCATTCGTTCATTTGTTTTTCAAAATTAAAAACGAAAATAAGAAAATGAAAAAACAACGGCCGTTTCCAGTTTGCCGTCACTTAAACTGCGATGCCGGACTTTTGTACCGCATAAGGACTGAACCGAGACTAAAACAGGACTAAACCATGTCTAAACTGGGGCTAAACCGGGTCTTAACCGGGTCTAAACCAGGACTAAACCATGACGGGCCCATATAGATCAGGACTGAGACTGGGACCAGACCAAGACTGACACTGGGACCGGACCAGGACAAGACCAGGACTAAGACCGGGACCAGACCAGGACCAGACCAGGACTGAGACCGGGACTGAGACTGGGACCAGACTATGACCAGACCAGGACTGAGACCGGGACTGAGATCAGGACTGAGACCGGTTTAGTCCTGGTTCAGTCCTGGTTCAGACCTGGTTTAGTCCTAGTTTAGTCCTGTTTTAGTCCTGGTTAAGTCGTAGGATCAGGCCTGGTTCAAGTCCTAGTTTAGACCTGGTTTAGTCCTGGTTCAGTCCTGGTTTAGACCTGGTTTAATCCTGGATCAGTCCTGGTTCAGTTCTGTTTTTGTCCTGGTTTAGTCTTGGATCAATCCGTCATTTAAACACAAAATCAAAAACTGAAAAAAAACAAATCATTATCTGTTTTTTCATTTTGGTTTTGGAGACAAATAATGAAGAAAATAGTTGTTTTTAAATGTTTTAAATTTTTGGTTTTATTTTGAAAAACGAATGAACGAATGACACACAGATTTATTAGCTTTTCTACAAATATTTGCCCAAACATTTATTTTGTAAATCCTACAACAAGGTAAACTTCATTGTGTAAAAGATGTTATTGCTTTGTCTGGCATTAAACCTTTCTATCTTCAACTGAGACCAAACCAGACTAAGTTACGGGTCAGATCTGTGGAGAGGCGACCCCGTTCACAGTCAGAATGCCTGTTTTTTTAACTATTTTTGAGCTATAAAACCACCTGTAATTTGATAAACATAAAGTAGAGCTGTTTAATGTCATACTGTGGAACATTCCAGGCCGAGCAATGACATATTGTAGAGACAAACATGTGACGGACCCTCCACCAGAAAAGTTACACAATGCACCTTTAAAACAGCGGCCCTAATAGTCTTTCTGCGCTTGTGCGTGTGACACAGTGAGGTCTCAGAGTGAGCAGTGATGGTGCGGGGGAGGAGAGGGTCTGTGCGGTGCATTCTGATGTGTGCAAACAGCCCTCTCTTTATTACACCAGAGTTTTTTTTTTTATATGCCCACAGCAGCAGCAAACTAAAAAGATGCCCTTATTTCTCAAACTAAGCATAAGTTACAACAAGCTAAAGGCTATTGGAGGATTGCATTGCTTTTTGAATTGCCAGCGAGTGGACAGTGTGTGGTAGTTTGACATTTCTGTGCTTAATAGTGATGCAAATATGAAAAATAACTGCGCATACTGAGAGCAAGCCCCGGGCAAGCGGAGAAATGCATTAAATTGTACTGTAAGTTTGTAAGAGAAACTATTTGGCAGTTAAAGAGCCCATATTAAGCTATTTTCTGAGCTATGGTATAATGTTATAGCCTGATTCATCATCTGTCTGACCTCGCAGCATTAGGATTCGTTTGCTCGACGATAAGCAGGTATTTTTTTATTTAACCAATCACTGCTATTTGGTCGTGATGTATGTAATGTGCCAAATCCCGTAGGAAGAACGGCAATAACGTGTCTTTCCCCTTGATAAATTTCGCCAAACATTCTCTTTGTTCCGCAGCTTTAAATCCTCGATCTCGGGAATCGTTGCCAACACAGAATGTCTGTCTTCGTCTACATCCATCTCGACGCTTTGTTTACTGTTGTGTTGTTCCACAAAAGGGACCCAGACGGACGCTTGAGTTTGACGTCATGGCTTCACAGCTCTTCACTGATTGGCTGGTGGGCGGTCTACAACTTCTTGCAAACTGTCTAGTGTTTTCTTATTCCTGATTTCTGCTTAGAACTGTTATTTCTTCCTGTAGTCTGCACTGAAACGGAGCAAAGGATCATGGTCTATGTAGTTCCCTGTGTTTTTTTTTTTTTTTTTTAAGCTATTGCTGCACCATAACTCTTAATTAGGCCTGTAACGATAATCAATAAATCGATTAATCGTATGATAACTTCTATTTGCATGCGTGTTTGTTTTCCTCGCTCTCTCTCGCTCTTTTCCGCTCTCAAAGAGACTGAATGTTAGAAGCTTCTATCGCTCTTTGATTCCTCTCGTTTAACAAGTGAAATGACGCGGAGTTCATCAGCGGAGTGACAAAACAAGTCATGATGCCGAATCAACACTGGTGAACGGGACACGTCTCAACAGCCACATGCGTCAAATGCAGCGAGCGCGCAAACGACGAGAAGAAACGTCTCAAACCCCAACAGCCGACATAAACCCAAAGCGACAGAACTAGCCTAGCCCCCGGGAGAACCCGAAATCCCGAAACCGAACCGACACGACACCAGACAGGACAGAGGCTCCCTCATAGAGATTAAACATCTTGTGTCTGTGGGAAATTATGTGTTGATCATGCTAAATTCACCTAACATTATGGACTTTAGAATGACAACAGGGTGGAAAAACACGTGTGATATCCATAGGTCTACATAACATGTTTTTCTTGCCATAAAGAATATGTTTTTCTGGACTTTGAGATGCCACGAAGCAGAAAAACTGACATATGTGGTCCCCGTGGCATGTTTCCACCCATGATAAGGTGTACTGGGTCAGCAGTATTGTTCATTTTCTTGCTGTATATGCTAAATCAACTAGTTAATGTTTTGTCAAGATGTAGTATAAAGCTACCCCTGATTTTGAGTTGGTCATTGAGACGTCGTTCCGGGGTGGCAGTTGTACTTGGTAATCAACTTGAATCTCACTCAATGGAAATGCTGAAATAAAGTGGCCTGTTTTCTCGGATTCTCCATCTCCTGTGCTTCTTTTAGGACACGCACTGAACCTTCCGAAAAACCCACATGTCCCAGGTTAATACGAACACTTTAAGACCAAAATGACAAAGCCACAGCAGCAGCCACAGAGAGACGAGACACAATATTCCAATGTAAGTCAGTGACTAAAATAATTTTAAGGACAATTTTGTTACAGAGACTTAAAATGTCAATATTATCATTTATCGCAATAAATTCTTGGTCAATTAATCATCTTGCAAAATTTGTTATCGTTACAGGCCTACTCTTTAAGTGAAAAGCCTTGTAATTCGATATATTGTGATGGTCCATGATATTATTGTGAGAACTCTGACGATACAGTTTCACAATATTCCGATTATTGTTACATCCCTATTAGTCAGTCTACGCCTCTGAAGCTCAAAGTGCTGATGTCATGAAGTGGTAGTTTTCAAGTTAATAGCTCCTTTTAGCTTTAGTTCAGAAGAGCTTGGCATTTCCAGGGCAGAAATTATAAAAATGATTCTAGTGAAGACATGACTTCACAAAGTGTTTTCAAGAGTGTTTTCAATTTGAGAGAAGAACTCAGCCTAAATATGCAAGTTTGTGTCTTTAACATATGTGAATGAAACAAAACACAACTCTGGGTCTGTTTTTAATGGGAAAATAACATTATAACAAATCAGGAAATAGCGTAATATGGGCCCTTTTATTAAGAATGTAACAATAACCAAAATATCGTGATATCGTATCGTCAAAAGTCTCACAATAATATCGTGGGCTGTCACAATATATCGAATCACAAGTTCCTTTGCTTAAATGCAGGTTTTGTAATCGCAACAGCTTATGAAAAACAGAAACTACATATCCCATGATTCATTTCAGCGCAAACAACATGAAGAAATATGTTTTTTACTTGAATTCTTGGGATTATGATGGAAATAATTCACAGCAAAATCTTGTCAAGGTATTTTAAAAGCAAAAAAGTTTCCTGTCTACAATTATATCAACCTCTTCAAAATATCGCAATAAATATCGTACCGTGAGATGCATATCGTTACATCCTTAGTTATTTCTATTTTCTTGCTGTCCTTGAACTGTGCGTTGCAACTCTGGAATTTCCCCACTTTGAGATAATAAAAACACCGCACAGAATAAATGCAAATTAAGCTCGTTGTGGAACATTTACAAGGCAAAGCAATCTTGTCTCGAGCATGTAGCAGACCCCCCTCCGCTAGAAAAGCTACATAGTGCAGCTTTAATAAATTTTAGTGGACCGGCCAACCAATTTAACCCACATCTTTTTGCTAATTGGCTAACGCGCTTAAACCCTCGCAAAGACTTACAAAGCGTTTACTGCTACTGTCTAAATCCTAATTACCAGCGCCGCACGTTTTGACCTGGGTTAAAAAGTAGCTCGTCTCCATGGCGATGAGGTTAATTGAAGTACACCGTTTTATGCTGTATACTGAATTATTAACACGGGTTCAGACGAGCGGCATTAAAGTCCTTACACTTTTATCCTCCCTTTGTTCGGTGCAGCTTTGATTTATTTGCCCTTTACATTAAACATTTGTGTGTGTGTGTGTGTGAGTGTAAGTCGTTCCCTTCCACCTTGTGATGTCACGCGGTGATACAGGAAGTGCTCCACTGTGTTTTTAAACTCCTTACACGTCACTAGAATCATTTGGATCCTTTCAGTCCCGGAAATGCCGATCTCTACTGAACT